AAATAGTCGACCTTCAAACAGTGCAGGCCTTTAAGACTGCACTTGACAAGCGATGGGTAAAACTATTCCCATCACTGGCAGTGTAGACGAATGTAGGTGTGCCAATTGTTTTAGGATATCATTTCCCTTTTTCACTGGTGCACGTAATGGAACGCTCACGTCTAACAATTCACTCGCCAACTTGGTGAGATGAGATCCTATTTCTCATTTTCATTTCAGCAGTGCTGGGTGCCCACTCAGTGAGCATACCATCGAAGAAATTCTGGACGCTCGATTGGCCGTGGCCATATTCAGTCCTGTGCAACCTGACCTGACCTGACCTGATCTGCCCGTCATCCAGAAACCCGAAGAGAAGGATCAAGAACTTCTCCTGCAGTTGAAGGACAGTGGGATCGCCCCTGAGCGCACAAGTGCTAGGAACTGGATGCATTGGCATCAGCCGCAATTCCTGTGTATCCGACCTGACCTGACATGGTCCGAGTTTTGTTTTAATTCCTATGTGACCTCAACTGGTGTGTGCTAAAATCCGTCATTGAAATGAAGGGTTTCAATATATCAACCGCAAAACCTGGCCGTACAGCACTGAAAAAGCTGGAAGATGAAAACAAGAAGAAGGTAAACATCGGCAATATTCGCTGGTTCATTCTTGGTAGGAAGAAGAGGAACATACAAAACAAGTGTTTCAAGAATTCGTTGCCACATTCGAAGGTGGGAATTCTAAGCAACGCACCTGGGTTAGAGGAGGCGTAGTGAAGACAGGTTCGGAAGGTATGCATCCGTCGAACTTATGCATTTTTTCTTAGGGACGGAAGTGGAGACTTCATCTAGTGGCCGATTTTACAAACCCACTTCCAAGTATGAGGAGAAACAAACTAAATCGGAGCAATCTTCAGGTGAATCAAAGAAACAAGTGACTGAAAAACCGGTAAGGGAATCATATAGAGCATAACAATTCGTTTTAGCCCGCTTTGAGCAAGAAAAAGCAGGAACAGAAAAAGTCTAAGTTGGAACAGTTCAAAGAGGAATTGAAGCTGTACGTTTTCAACTCGACTAACCTAATATTCTATTTAGAATTCAGCAGCAGAGGGAGCAGCGGCATGCAATGAGACACGGAAAAAATACACAGGGTCCCGCAATTACCCATTCGGAACTTGATTTGTCGGACGTTAGTCGCGGTCGTGAATACAGAAACAGTAACATTGGAATGGCACAACATAGCGGACCTGGAACTGGACTACTGGGTGCTGCGACCAACACAGGGTTTTATCCTAGAAGAGGTCAGCGTGATCGCAGAGATGGTATGTTGTTTAAGCTTGGCAACATATGCTGTACTCCTTAGATTATCCGTATGACTTCGACGAAAATCAAACCACAACAAATTTATTCCTGGGAAACCTTAATCCTAAGGTAAATTAGTTGAGAATTCCCTAATCGAAGTTATAGATGACGGAACAGCAACTTTGTGAAGCTTTTGGGCGTTATGGCCCGTTGGCAAGTGTTAAAATAATGTGGCCACGCACTGAAGAAGAGCGTTCTCGTGGGAAAAATTGTGGTTTCGTCGCATTTATGAACCGTAAAGATGGTGAACGTGCACTGGAAAATATTAGGGGTAAGCATGATTTTATTATATCCGATTTTCTCACCATGTTTGGCCTTGCGTTCATCTATGAACTAGTGTTTCAGTCAATCCTAGTCGTCGACTTGTAGATTTTAGTCTTTTCGCGGTTTACCCTAGAAATGGTACGAATGGTAAGCTCAGTGTTATCTGATGTCCTATTTGGTTGACTCAATCCCCAGATCTTAAAAAGTAATCCTTGATAAAGGACACCAAGAAGTACCTTGTTTACCATTCACCATCGAACAAGAAGCGGTCTTGAAGTCGTGTGATCCAATCCTGCTACCGCCACCCGATTTCTCCAAGTTCATTATTTTCTAAAAGAGTCTTCGGTTTGTCATAGCCCCCTTTTGACCATAGTCCGTACAAATGTAGGTATTTCTTATTGGAAGAACTCTATATGTAAGATCCGTGTATACGGCTTCACCGAAACAACGCAGTTTTCTTAATGGAGCTGCGCTGAGTTTATCTTTGCTTTCAAGACACGGACCAAGAGCGGTGTTTTTTAGATGTCCGTGCTGGCGTTAATGAGTAGATTCGTGCAGGTTTCCCCAGATTAGAAAATGAATTCCTTATCTAGGCAACGTAAATGCAGTATGATCGCATTTATTAGCCACAAAAACGTTATCGGACGATTTCTTTAACAATTGGCAGGCTTTTTCCCAAAACTAGTGGTGAACTCATATAATCCACTACTGACTTACTACATAACGTCTGGTTGTAAGAGCGCATTCCGTCAAATTGAGTTGAACAATTGACCGTTCCAATTTCCAATAAGGGATCTCAATGAACGCCATTCACCGCAGGATAAGCGTGACCCCTATAATCATGTTATTCGTTTCCTGTGATACTTCGATAATGGACGGTCTCAAGGGGCCCGAATATCCGCGGGCAGCAAAGAGGACCGACTAGGTCGCTACTTCATCTTCCAAATATTCGCTTCGACCATTGATCCTTCACTTGAACGAAGTCTTAGACTCAGTTGATCACGAAGCCTTTCTGGGTTCGCTTTTTGGAAAAGGAATGCCGCTGAAGTATGTGAACCTACTGTAGTCATTACTCGCATACTTTTGGTTCCTTAAGGGCCTACGTGGAGCTGAGCAGATCGTTTTGGAACAGTGGTGTTCGCCAAGGTTGCCCAATTTCACCATTCCTGTTCAAGTGGTCTCACAAATGTTGGTATTGACCGGGCAATTGAGAAAATTTGTGCGACTTCGAGTACGCTGGTGACGTTTGTCTGTTCGAATGTATGGAGGACCGTAGAGGTTTGCTTTTATCCGTTCTCCAAAATAGAGCCGATCCCTTTCTACGTTGCACATTCTGATTTCCTCCATGTGTTTGACTCTGTCGATGGAGTATCCGTGGGGTGCATACTGTGGTTCGACGGGATGCCCAGATATTCAGATACTCAAAATCATACTAGTCAGGGACTCGGGTACACAGCTGTTGCAACCGGGAACAATTAGATTGGTTTACCTCAGGCTGTGGTCAGGCCACTATCGCCTGTGTTGCGCGACTGCACCACCAGTTGGATAATACGAAAAACTAACTACTCCGTAGTAGGGCTTACCCCGGGTATACTGCTCGCAGTCCTCGAGTTTGCGGACAGTCGTTGTACTTGGGAACATCGTATCTTTCTCATCCTTGAAACCTTGGTCTATCTTAGTTCTCCGTTTTCACTTCTAAACCGTTTCCAACGTGGCAATCTTCTCTTCACCCTGTTATTAAAAAACTAACCAGAACCGCCGCACAAAGTTGAAAGGTTATGATTGCATATACTTATACAAACTAGAATTCTCGCGAAAATTGCACATATTCCTTAGGTTGAAATCTGTCGTATTTACCAAATGAAAGGTTTTACTGGGAAGTACTGTTGTTTCTTTTCAACTGTTATATTGCGCGTTTATTGTCGTTGCAGGAAAAGAAATACTTGGTTTCGAGATGAAGCTCGGATGGGGGAAAAGTGTGCCAATTCCTCTTTATCCAGTTTATATTCCACCCACATTGCTGGAGTTGATTAAAGCACCTCCACCCAGTGGCCTTCCGTTCAATGCCCAACCACGAGAGTGGTTAAAATCTGTCCGTCAGGTTATAAAAGAACGAGCAAAGCTGATTACAGATGGAACTGATCCTGACGCTACGGTCCCTCCAGGCCCTGACCGGAAACCTTTTGATATCAACAAGATGTCAGAGCAAGAGCTTCAAGAAGTAAGATTTTCTCTATTAGTTTCAATTATTTCTCCCTGCTTGATGTTGGCTTTCGTTTTCCTCACCTATTCGGTAGATGATATCGCAACTGGAAACCGTTTCAATGTGTGCTTTTAAATTGTGCCATACTGAGACTGCATAATGTTTCTGGTATTTCATGGTAATTCTGTGACTGATCTTTCCGTTGGTTAAGAACGAATGCTTGGATTATCGGATTTTGTGTAGCTGGAGTGTTACCGACGTGGGTCACCTAACAACTCTTTAGGCACGTATTTATTGTTATCAGAGTCTCATCTCCGTTATTTGCAATCCAATCATCAACCAGTATTTTTCAGCAGTAGGCACCAGTTGGGATGCAGCGAAATAGTTCAGTATACGAATTGCCCAATGTTTCTACTCTGGCTGCTCGTTTCCTGTAGTTTCATTTTCATATATTATTATTTTTCATTATATACGAAGTAGTTTCCCACAATAGGTGGCGTCCGTAGTCGACGCGGAAGCTTCATGCCTCATAGTCGAAGTGTCGGAGAAGTGCAGCAGTCATTCCCTGTGGACGCCAAGATCTGTACCATTTGTACTTTCAGTGCTTGGGTCTTTCACAAATCACTGTATCTGTAATGGCGCCGTATCTGTACAGATTGGTGTTATATATATATATATTTATGTACATATATATAGATATATATATGTATGTATATAGATATACATATATATATATACTGTCAAGATAAAATATTCAAAGTTGAAGAGTCCTCATTGTTGGGGAGCTGTTAGCGTTTAAAAGATAAGAATCAAAGTTCCATCCAAATAAATAATTCTGCGTTTAAAGAAATAAAAATGCAAAAGTGGTGAACAGGTAGCAAAATGATGAACATGGGAGCACAACCAGCGCCGTGTGTAAGGATGAATAGAGACAGTTAAAGGGTATTGATGGCGGGTGTCGGATAAAGTAAAATTGTTTTAAATATAATTAGGGCTACGAGGGAAGAATACGGAAGGAAGTGAAGCACTGACCTTAGATTTGACTTTAAACATGTAAATGAGGGTGGCGACAGCATGCCTTGCACTCTAGTGGAATGCGCATAGGGCCAAAAATGCGACTTCTCAGTTAATTTATTTGACTCGTCTTCCGGAGGGCGAGAAGACCCGCCAGCCAGCCCCAAGAACTAAAGAGGAAAACTCTGTAAGACCTGAATATTTCGGGCGTGATAGTGAACCCGGCGACGATTGAACTTTCCATCACCGCTCTTTTTTATGTTCGTGAGTAACGAGATCAACTTAGATACAGATTGAAGGTTTTTGGTTCAAAGATAACCGCAGATGAACGGATTCCTTCATTTGGTTACCTTGTGATTACCCAGTCGACAGGGAAGTCGCTCGAAAAGTACGGTTCCGCTTCCGTTGCTGATGCGGTTTTGTACTTTTTCACAAATTGGAACGCACTGACTGAATTTCGAAAGACAGCACGATCCGCTCTTCCATGTTCGTGTCATAAGTAATTATGTTTTGTTCATCACAGTTTTTCCTCAATCTTCAATCCTGCCCATCCCATTTAATTGTGGTTTCTCTAAATATGTGATTCAGACATTGCATACTCTTTTATTTCGTGCTCCTACCAACTTCTTACCGATCTAAAGGTCCTCAAGGACGCAGTGGTTAAAGTGGTCATTCCTAGTGACAGGTGAGTGATGGTTGTGCGTGGATCTTGACAGGTATGCCGTAATCTCTCTCCTGCAGGTCTATACTGGCGTTAATTCACCGATTGATTGAGTTCGTCGTGTTGGAAGGACCTCAATTTGAGGCTGCTATCATGCATCGCGAGCAAAATAACCCACAATACAAGTATGCATTCAGTTCCGCTTTTTATATGCTAAATCTCAGGTTTTTGTTCGACTACCAGTCTTCCGAGCACACCTACTATCGTTGGAAATTGTGGTCCATTCTCCATGTAAGTGCCCCAATAATTTCACTGTTATTCTCAACATCTGATATTATCCAAAGTTGCCCTCCTCTAGTTTAATTAGTCAGTTTAGGGTTTTCACTTAAAATGTAATCCCCCGCCACTTGGGTTTAATACCCATATTCTTTATTGAATACGCTGCCAACTACTTTCTGCACAAAAAGGTGATCTGGTAGCTCATTACGAGATGTAAACTGTAATTTTTGATTGGAATAATTGGTAATCTTGAATGTACACGCACAATATAAATTACTCAGTTAAGGCGAGGTTCACAGTGGAACCCTGTTTCAACAACCGTTATTGAGATGATGCAGTAATAATCAGAGTGTACGTCGTCTTAAACTTAAGTTAGCTTTCGCCAGAAACATATTTTGTTCTTCGGTTTCCCGTTAAAGTCGTGCGTCGTGAACATTGCTCCTAACCTTTGCTACTGTAGTGAAAGATGTTAGATTTTGGGCAGGGTGGAACATTTTATCATTATTCCTTTCTTAGGCGAGAAATGCGGACTGTTCTATTTTGCAGCTACAATCTACTTGAGGCAGTAAATCCAGCCACCGAAACAAGTAGATTTATTGAGCTGCACTTCACACAAGGACGAGTTTTGTTTTGCGTTCGACACAGTTCTTTGCTAGTAGAATGACTCACTAGTGATCCCCCCATAATAGCTAAATAACAAATATGGCTGTCGAATGCTAACTCAAAGCTATCAATCAGAAAACCACCCAAAAATGCGCGATTGTTGGTTGCATGAGCTAACACAAAGTTGTTCAAAATGTTCCCATTAGTGCTATGGCTGTTGAACTTCCAGTGCTGAATCGGGGTACTGTCAGCCTCAAAGCGCATGGGTTTAACATTTCACGAAATATTTCTTGATAAGAGTATCAAGCTTGGATTAGCCCATTCAATTGCTCAGAGGCTCCAAGCACTCTTGATGGTCTACAAACACAAATTCCCTAACTTCGCATAGCGAATATTTGTTGGTTTCAACTACGCGGGCATCAAGTTCAAAGAGTTGGGATACCAGTGGAGATTGATATCCCCAATTTGGGGTCACTTCGGCCTGTTTCTATGGTCTAATTACACAGTTAGCAGATGTAGGTAGGATAAGCTTGTTTCACAGGGTGGCTGTCTTTCATGGAGTTGCATTATTTTGAAATATTTTAGTCATTCGCTAGGTATTAGACCGGCAGATCGTCATTGGAGTCAGCTCAGCCGCCTGATGATCCTCAGTCGTCTTACAGTCTTGACGGGAAAAATTGCAATTGAAACCGAATCCCGCTGTGTTATTCTCCTCCATAAATATTCAGCATGCATCTATTCACCACCAGGTTTTGCGAAATGTAAGATAAGTTACACAAGAGGCGAAAATCTCTCCTTGAAAAAATTGTGACGCTCAATGTCAGTTCCACATGGCCGATAATTTACTATCCATTCAACCACTAGGGCGGTTGCATTTATTCAAAAAATGTGCACCTTCCAGTACTGGTAAAGCGTAATTAAAAATCTAGTTAGTTTTGTCGGCCTGATAGATTGGTTTTCAAACAGAACATCCCACTTATCACATTGCGATTTATGATGTCCTTTGGTAAATTTTATGTACAAAACATACCACCGCCTCAAATCATTTTGCTTCGATTTATCACTGTGCCTTCAAAACTTCTTTAATGACTTATCAAGTGGGCATGCCAAGCCTCGACTGTACATAAGTATTTTATTCTTTATGCACATTTGGAATGTCCAAACCCGTCTTATACTCTGTACATTATCGAAGGGCGAAAGTGTAAACAAGTGGCGGACCGAAGAGTTTCGCATGTTTGAGGGCGGGCCACTTTGGCGTCCACCACCCATGAACCTGTTTTCAGGCGGTATGCCTGAGGATCTTGTCGAGGAAGACGATTATCCCTATGCTCCCGGCTATATCCCACCACCCGATGCGAAACGAAGGGATGCGGACGGAACGTGAGTGGAATTTGGACATTGCTCTTTGCTTCTAGCGTTTACGTATAACGTTCCTCTCACTTCGTTGCAGTTACATGTAAAAGTCTACGGGGACTGTTTGCTTCACCCGTCGTTTTTCTTTGTGAACACGGGATTCGGTTATGGACTAAGCCTGGAGCCCTTGCTTGATGGATGAGGTGCAAGATAAGCGAACAAATGTATTATTTGCCAGATGGAGGTCTGATTGCTCTGATGAAGATTCCCCGTTCGTAGTTGTTCAACCCAAGACCAATCCACGCGGAGCGACGCCGGCGGTGCCCACATGCAAATGCTGGATTACTCGTTAACGAATTATCATCTTGTACAGACGCGATATTTAGCTTCGTCCATAAAACATTCACGTTTCACATCTCGCTATTTTGTGATATAAGAACGTTCCGGATTGCTTCTGGTTTACACCTTCATTTTGCACTTCCTCTTTGATGCTTCATTACTCTCACAATTTCTTCTAGGTTTCCTAATATCGTCCATTATTAGAGAAGTAACACATTCCTCAATAATACCGATACTTATACTGCCAGACACAGCCCATCTGCTTGAGTTTGTAAACCGCAGATACTATGAACTTAAAAGATCTCTTTTATCCACACTTTCTCTAGTTTGTTTGCGTTGTTGCGTGTTTTGATTGCTTCTCCAACGAACTACTTTTTCCGTTTCTGCGTCAATGTTTTTTTATTTGAGTAGGCATTTTTATATGAAGCATCGGTTGTAGGTTATGATGTATTGCTAAGCTGCGGTTGAATCTTTAACTGCTCGTACATTTGGCAGCTTTGGACTTTTTCATCTACTGTAATTACCACTTCGCATGTTTCGCCATGTCAAGGTATGATGATACTTATTCAGAAGCCATGGCCGCTTCACGGCGTTGTGGCCTTACCGAGGCGCAACGGGGTCGATTCGGCCAAATGTTGTTGGATTTAGAACCATGTCGGGCCAATGTTGGCGATGTGATGGTCTGGTGCTTGGAACATGCGGATTCCGCGTCAGACATAGCGGATTGCATTGTGGAATCACTGTCACCGGATGGTGCATCCTCCATCGCATCAGAAAAGCCGGGCACAGATGCTGAATCAGAGGCTGTCGTGGAGGCGGAAAACACATCCAATAAATCACCCGTACCCATCACTAAGTCACTCGCGAGACTGTTCCTCATTTCGGATATTTTGTATAACTCGTCAGCAAAAGTACCCAACGCGTCCTTCTTCCGAAAATGGTAAGCTCATATTGGTAATAATGTTCCACTTTTTAACCGTTATTCTGAATTTATCAATGATTTTTGTGAAATAACAGCTGGCGAGTGGTAACCTAATTAGAAAGTATGCTAGCTCCACTTTGATTTGCATACATGATCAATGTTTGATATAGCATGTTAGCACTTTCATCGGTTAGGTTGTGAAGTTGATGAATCACCATGAACCAGTCGGTAGCTGCATAGATTTGAATTGATCTGCTCATGTTCCGCAAAGAGTGTGTATTCCTTTACATTTCCTGGTCGGTTTCTGTTTGAAAAACGCATATTGTTTTTTTCCATATATTAATCCCACTCAGCTTCGAAGCTCGCTTGCCGGATGCTTTTAAAAGTTTACACATACACTACCGAAATGCAGAAGGAAAACTCAAAGCCGAGCAATTAAAGGTAGCTATCTCTTTAATCAATTCTAAATTCTCCAGCAAAAAGTCATGTTGTGTTTTCGCGCCTGGGAAGATTGGGCTGTCTATCCAAACGATTTTCTCATCAAGTTGCAAAATATTTTCCTGGGTCTTGTTACCGAGGTAAGTACATCTTTGGATTATTAACTGTTTACACCTGGTTTTTATTTGACTTTTTCTCCCCGTAACACTAAGTAACAGGAAGCGTGTAACCGAGAAATCTGGGTTGGAAAAATGAGTTGTCTGTTATTGCCGAGTTGTATTTACAATCTGAATTTGTTTCTAGGCTCTAATCGATTGATCCCGATCTAGCCGTGTATGACAAAATTTCATCCAGTTTTCGAAAACTGCGAATGCAAATTCTCAGTAGTTTTGATTTTTCTTTGAATAGGAATGATAAAATCCAAGTTGGTAAAGGGTGTTGCACAAGGAAGGCAACACGCTGGCCAGCCGCCCAGATCAAGGCTAGAAAGGGGCGTAGGAGACCTTGCATAGAGCTATGGGCCCAAGGAATAGGATTGCAAAGTTGTGATGTTTACTGCAGGTCATGGGCTAGTAGTTCAGTCCTTATATCTTTTAAAAGTAAAGCTTTCAAGTTGAGTCGTCATGATGGCTGTGGTCAAGCGGTCAAGGTCATTAACTTATCGCCCCGGAGGTCAACTTATCGAACCACTGCTTCCTTACTACATCCTTGCTCCCTGGAAAAATTCCATTTTTAAAATAAATGGAAAAAGTACAAAGGGTATAGTTGGTTACACTTCATTTCGAAGCGAATCGATCGTAAATTTTCAACCCGATGAATTGTCTTACTTCCAATTCAGCGGGAGCCTCCGGCTTCTGTTTCGGTTTCTACGATTTGACACCAGCAGTCGAATAACCGATGGTAATATAATCAATTTACTTAGAACAAGTCGTTATACATCATCTCAAGCGAAGTTTGTCAGCTCCATCCTTTACCAAACATTATCATACCTTACTAGACGATGTAGTGGCTGATTTCCTGTGTTCACTTGGCTTCGACTCCATTTACTGTGTTTTAATGTTTTCGTTTTCCATTTTGTAGGTGGATGACGAGGCTGAACTGGCTGGTATCCCACTTGGACCGGAAATTGCTATGTCGGATGTATCAGGAAATAAATTAATGACATTAGATACGGATGTAGAAATTCTGGATGGGCAGCCTTTAGTTCAATATGACGGTGATCCGCTCGATGTGGATGGTAGTCCACTATCAGACGACGCCATTCAGGAGACTAATTTATCCACCTCTCGGTAATGGTTTCTTTCCTCTATACTTTTTAATGCATATTTTCGAAGTAATTTTTGAACGTTTTTATTGAACAATGTGTTTTTTGGTGTTGCTCCTTATTGATGCCAACTGGGGTATAGGAGGAACAAACATGCATGGTACACTGCATTACGAATGAGCAAAATATAATCATTCAAAGGAACTGTATGCGTGGCCAATCTTCAAGGCAGTTGTATACGAAGCTCGGAGCTTGTAGCCAAACTTTGATAATATATTGCCTTCGTATAATTTCTGGTTTTAAGGAAAAAAATCACCTTGTTCTCCATATCCCTTAAGTTTGTGTCCCCTTGTAGTGTCACTGTCAACCGATTTGGTTGGGACTCTTGTTTCCAAGCGTGTAGTCGTAGAAGTGCAGACCTTTAATTGAATCGAGAATTCCATCTCTTGCTTTCAGTTGATTTTTCTTTAGCCTCTATAATGTGTATTTCACCAGAGACGATCAACAGAGTAAGCAGTGCATCTAGCATCTGAAACTGATAAGTTTCGTAGCGGTTGGTGATTATCTCGATAAAATCAGCGTACGGATATTAGTTCTGTTTGTTACTTCATTCAACGCAGCAATGCCCAAGAAAACGGTCCTTGAACAGAGGATTCTTTTTCAGATGAACTAGTGTTCAGTGGTAATTACTGAATGCATAACGCACTATCTATTTTTTATTCCAGCATGCTAGTCGTAATTTTGATATGCTGTTCTTTCTATCGAAATATACTGCTTGTAGTTCATCGAACTGGTCGGAAGTTCGGTTATGTAAGGGTAGATTTCTTGTTCGCTTTAGGTGACTATGTTTAAGGTAGGGTAGTAGATTAAATTGTTATGAACCGATGAAAATCGTTTTTAACTTGAAAATTTTTGTGTGAATAGATTATATCACACTAGGATGACTGAACTAAATTCGATGCGACGAGCCCCGGTGAAATCGTCCGTCATCCCCATAGTTCTTGTTCACGGAAATGCATTCATCTTCATCGTACAGTGAGAAACAGTGGGGCGAACTTCACTGACCGCTGCCAGGCTCACAATGTACACAAAGTAAGTGAGAAAGTGCCAGATACATGAGAATTGGGCCTAAGTGGAGGGAGGCAAAGCAAGTAGACCTTTATGGTCAACACAGAGTGCAGAATCTAGCTGTGCATGCATACCTTTTCAAGCATTCTGACCTAATAAGAAACGACATCGAGACGACATCAAAAACGCCACTGCTGTCGGTTCACAATAGCAGAAACCATGCACTGTAGATGGCGCGGATGATGAGCTAACTGAGGAGTCGGTTGAATGCATTGACCGTTTGCAGATTTTTCCTCAAACACTTCGTTTGTTACAATGTCATTCCTGTCCAGTGAAACCAAGAGAGTTGGGAGCTCTTGATAATAATCTATTGTTATTTCACAGGTCCAAAGCTGTTCCTAGTACGGATTCGAAGATAACCAGTGATTCCAATGACACCAGTCGATTGTTCGTGCCTAGCAAATGGGAAACAGTGGATCCCGAAGTTGTGGAGTCAGAGGCTGTGACGACAACCAGTCGCTGGGAGCTTCTTGTTGACCCTGCTACACAGCCATCTGGCAAGCAAACTGACGAGAAACCTGGTCGTAACGCAGCGCATTTCGGACGGTGGACAGAAGAGCCACCAGATACAGCGGACGATGATGATTTAGATGGACAGTAAGTCTAAATTAGTGTATCCGGTTGATAAAATGACCTTTTTTCTCTGGCGGTATTGGCATCAGTGGGTGCTGGGCATAAATCCATACTTCTGTTGCATGCTCTATATCAAACAGTCTCCAAAATCATTCGTAAGAACGGAAGTTACGCTTTAAAGAATAATCCTTTATTGTACACTGAGTGATATGACTGAGTGTTGCAAACAGCGATGCGCGTGTATTTTCTCGATCTTTTTGCAACCTTAGTCTGCTATCGTTATTTATTTTCACATCTACGTGGCCTCCAACATTCCACTCATCTCTAATAATAGCCAGAAGGTAGCGGCCAAAACCACCAACGAAATCGCATAATCAATGGTTACGTATACTGAAGCAGTGACTCCTATAATTGTCTAACCGCACTTCATGTACAATAAGTTGGCGGACCCGTTGCAATTCCGTTAAATGCTTTCTGTTGGACCGTTTTCACTACTGTCATTATAACTATGGTCCCATTGAACCTCATTTATTGTACTGTTTTGTTTTTATTGTTTTATTCATATATCTTTTTATTAGCCACATCGGAGCGAATCGGTTCTAATCAGAAACTAAAACAGAAATATCACCAAAATATGTTTGTTGCAAACCATGTGAACTGTACTGTGATGGACCTAATTCACTTTGGGAGTATAACACTTGGCACAGAATTATCGGACACGCATACCTGCCAACTGACATGGATCTCGCATTCGGTGCTGTGCTGTGCTTTGAAATTTCGTTCAGTCATTCAGTTAGAAGGTCGAAAGGTCGGTAAACTCACGGGATCAGTTTAACATACCCGCTGCATCGATCCTTCTTAGATAAGATTTTGGGGCCTCATTTGTGATAATTTGTAGGTACGTGCTTATCATTTGACGAAAGAGCGATCGTTATGTTGAAAAATATATGCCCAAGTCGATATCCGGGGCTATACCCGGTTTGGTGGACCACTGGTAGTTCACCTAAGGCAGTTGTCCAAAAACACTGATTCCAAACCAACCATGAGGAAGCGTATGAACAACACACAACTTCCTGGTTGTGCCAGTGGTCATCGGCACGATTGGGCATCGAGGTGTTTTGGGCATCTCAGACGTTTGACCTCATCTGAAGGCCGTATGGTCCAATCAACTGAACAACAGCCCCCAACGGATTGCGGCTTTTGCACATCGCCCCGCTGCCTTGCGGGTCAAGCTTTGGCTAGCCAAAGATTTGTGGATTTATCAAGAAAATTCAGCTGGCTTGGTCTGGGCAACCTGGTAGTATTCCACCCACGTGCAAATCATAAACCGTTTTTCTTTTTATAAAGATCATTGTACCATGATTTGTTTGGCACATTCTGGATTCAAACGTGTGTGCGAATATAAACATAATAAATACCTCCATATTATTTTTAATTTCTCTACCACATGACTCTCCGCTTGTAATTTGTTGATCGCATTTCATTAGTCGCGACTGATAGAGGTCTTCTTTCCTGATCGTGGCCCTTTTCGGAGTATTCCTCTTTAACTATCCTTATGATTGTTCGAATCCTCACGAACAGTTGACTAACTGAGCTATTTGTCATCTGTTCATGGATGATGTAGACGTGGTTGTATGTATTATCCGGAAGCTCAAATCAATTGTTGCAATTACTTCTGCTTTTGTTTCAGACCACTTACGGGGTTGACAGGACTCGTTGCATACGATGATGCCGTCAGCTCAGCTTCTAGTGACGATGATAATCCTCCACCACCGAAAGGTGCAGTTATTCCGCCAATTTTGTCCTTAAAACCCGCCGATTCCTCAAGAGGAAACCCGAGTACTCCTACCAATAGCCTCTCTGAAGAGCGACGCGCTCAACTTCGCGAGATAGAACTCAAAGTCTTGAAATATCAGGATGAATTAGAGGCTAGTCGAAAAGGTGACGCAACCATAACTGAACAAGCCATCAGCAAGGTAATTGTGCAGGAATTATCAGGAGATTTGCCCCATTCCTTGCATATCTTCGAATTGCAGTTATCGCCTACTATAAATTCCTCCTTTTCCACCAGTTTCACATTAGTCCCATATAGTATATACGTCAAGAATTAGGAATCTTTGTTTGATTTTTTTCACGTGCTTGAGAATATCATATCGAATGTTGCCTTTGGGTGGTGGTGGCGCAGTGCTTTAATCGCTGTCATCGGCATGCTTTGGATCCTGTGGTCAGGTTCGAGCCCCACCAACGCCACCCAACTTTGGTGGTAGGCAGCTTCGCTGTCGCCCGGTTCTATACCACGCCTAACCTGGAGGGAGCCTTATGTGGTTCGCCACCCCAAGTTCCGGGGTTTAGGTTGTCGGTTACTATCACTGAACAGCAGGTTTTCGTGACTATGGGGTCCACTCCGGCTGCTGTTCATCACACTTGCGTGTAATGAAAAACAATTTAAGTTGGGAATAAAACCATCTTAAGCGATATATGAATGCTACTACACATCACTTGTGTAGGTATACATATGATTTTGACACAGTAAACAAGCGAGGGCAATTTGTGTGTAATTGTCAAATGTATTTGAAAACAGTGTACTGTATCAGAAAGTGAAAAATAAACTAAGTTGCATTAATGTTCTAGATGAAAGTAAAGGAACAGTCTACTTGCTTGTATCACAGCCCCATCGCTGCCGATTTTTCAAGTTCTCATTGTGATTTTACCCCACAGTTTTTTATCGATTCACACGCTTAGAGCTGTCAGGTGTGCCAATATATCATCAATTGCAATTGGTGTCAGAGAGTACATTTTCAAGTGGTTCATACTTTGATCACGATAAAAGACACCGGCATTCCATCCTGCATTTTGGAAGCATAAGCACGACTGGATTTCCCATATGGTATACTTCTGCACATAATATTTACATGACAATGATTAATTGTTCATTGTGATTTCTCATAATACTAGCAAATCCAGCGTTATCGCGAACGTCTCCTGGAGCGGTTGAATGAGGATGATATGGGAAGTCCCCTTAGCAAACAATCCGCGAAATCATCCAAAACCAAATCGAACAAAAACAATCAATCTTCACACTCGCCCAATCATACTTCTAGTTCCAAACGTCGTCAAGAACACAGCCGGGATAGATCGGATTCTCCTTTGGTACGACGAGATCAACGAGATCGTTCACCACCCCGGTCATTCCGTGATCGTGACCGAACTCGTCGACGCCCCCCTATTTCCCCCTCCAGTCCTTCAGACCTCGGTTTCGATGGCATGTATGCTAGTCCGGCCCGAGGCGAGCGTAGGGATGACATGGACGAATCAGGACGTGAGAGCACTCGCCGTCCACGTTCCAATACTTGGGAGTCTGAGGAAGATCCAAGCGATTATCGGTTCCGTAATAGACGGACGACTGATGAACTGGAAGAGGGAGAGGCTAGCGATGAAGAAGATTGCAGCTCCGTTCACGCGGGAAACCAGCGTACACCGTCTAAACGAAAGTCCAATGAAAATGAGGGTGAACGTTCCTCCAATAGTCCACGAACGGTAAATTCTGTTTTGTTATTTTTACCTTGTTTATTGACTGATCATGAGACGAGCTAACTCCTTGATGATCCTCAATTGACTGTGACACCCACAAAAATAAACAACCATAGTTTCGGCAGCGGCCAATACAATTTTCCGTACTTAATCTGGGACTTTGTTCCTTACCCCAGATGTTGTATACGTGCTTTGAGAGCAGCATACATCATACAATCACCCATATATGTCCCGTGTGACATTGCTCGTCAAGGTCCAGCACATTTCTCCGTATTTCGGAGGAACATACTGCTGCATCAACCAGTTTGGGAGTCATAACTTACGACTAAATAAAGTCTCCCTAACTAATGTCCCTTGGACTAGAAGAAAGGTTTTTCTCTGGCTCTCGTCATTAGTTGTTTGAATGACGCAAATCGTTGATTACAAAAAGCACCTAAAATGTTTTGGGTACTGGTATTGATGATTGGAAGCTGATTAAACTACTTTTTAGTCGGGAACAATTTGCATTTAAACAAACAGCTACTAATGTGTCTCAGTTTTCCCGCTTTATTTTAGACCCGCAAACGGCGTCGTTCCCGCTCTCCGAATCCATCCCCATCCTCGCGCCACTCTCGGCGATCCGGGACACCCTCCCCGGATCGCAAACGCACAACACATTCCGATTCTTCTGGTAGTCGTCACAGACGAAGATGAACGAATGGCTCTGTTCAAACCTGCAACCGTTTCTGAATTTATGATTTCAGCCGTTATATCCCTGCGGCAAGCGCTGTACAGTGTTCAGTCTCCCGCGGTGGTACTTTGAACCATCGGATGCATTCACCCGTTATTTGACTGCATATTACAATGAATTCATCTACTCTTGATAACTTTGCATGACGAAGTCGTGCTCAGCTGTGCTCTTTGAAATTCACTAAATTGAATCCACTGATCTGTTAGTTTTTCCCTTTCGGCGGCGTGCATGTCATCACAACCAAGCATGCTCGTAACAGGCAACCCTCAAACATCATTTCATTTGGTTGTGTACGGAACTTTGAATCTCGTGCAGATCACGCCCCCAATAATTGAGCCGCCATTCCGCGAAGTTTCTATGGGGGTAAAAATGAGCTGGTCATTTGTAGTTTCCTGACGGTTCGACCTCAGGCATGCGTGCACTCGCTAGTTGTGCTCTGATCATCAGATATTGCGTTTTATGTTGCAGTTATTTTCAATGTCATTTTAAGATCATGCACCGTATTCTATGTTTAGTGGTATATGTGCATATCACAGTTTACAGTGTCCTGCATCTCATCGATATGTTTGGCCTTTTCGTGGTTAATATCTGCGTATTGTCTTCAAGGTGGGATCCAATGTACATGTTTGGTGAAGTACCAACAGCTTTATTGCCCTCCTGCTTAATATCACATTTGTATAGTCTGCGTCAATATGGGGTTCATCTCTTTTGCTGTTGATAACACCAAAGTGTATAAGAATGGTACCACTAGCCCGTAATGCTCAAACTCTCCAGAATAACTGTGAACTGGCCCAGGGGTGTTCTGAACGTGGTGGTTTTCAGTTTTTTATTGCATTATTGTGAATTACAGTAAAAGAAGAAATCCCCATAGAAAAAACATACTGCAGGAGAGAGAGAGCAATGGAACATTCATGTAAGATGTTTTTATTGGTTCTGCGTTTAAAGAGTGCACGATTGTGAGTTGAGGGAAAGACCGAAAGTTGGCAGTTCGAGAAAAAAGTAGAGAAGCACGACATCTGAAAACCGAAATCTGATAACGATGACTAGATGCCTGTGTATGTAATGGACGGGCAAAAGTGACAGGAAAAGTAACTGCCGAGGCAAGCTCTGAAGGACTAAAACCGAAGCAGGGACGATGAAGCAACTGGACGATAACCTAGTGACTGCAGATTAGATGTTATGGAAGGATTACCGATCAACCGGATGGCCTTTCGTTGAACGCAATCAAGAAGGGAAAAGAAGAAGACGAAGCCCCATTCAACACGTGAGTGCAATATTCAAGAGCAGGGCAAATTTGAGCTTTGCACGGTAGAAGATGAGCTAAGGATGAAAAAGTGTCTGGCACGGAATAAAAATTCAACCTTACGCGCATCACGAGAAGCAAGCTGAGCAATAGAGGTGGACCAGCCTAACGAAGTTGTAGGCAATCCAAGAGGGAAAACAGAGTCTGTGGAACGCAGTTGGGTGGAATCAAAAGATGGCTGTTCGGGTGGGGGGATGAATGGTGTTGGAGAAATTAAAAGGCTTCAGAACCATGAAACGTGATTGACATTGCCCCAGAGATATGTTCATGATCGGAATCCAGTGACCCATTAAGTGCACTGCGGTCACGATTGATGTGTGTTTGGGCATGCGGTAGAAAAGTGAGCAGTGGAGGGTTTCGTCATCGGCAAAAGAGTGGATTGGGTTGACAGTTTTAGGAAGGAGGTCATTGAAGAATGGAAGAAAGAGGGTGGGCGCAAGTACTGAACCGTGATGGGGAGCGCAAGCTATCATAGGGAGGGGTTGAGATGGAACCTCATCAACTCAGACGGAGTTGGTTCGCTTCAGGAGGAACCTTGATATCCGGAGGGAACCCGAACGTGGATAGCTTCGCCAGTAAACCTTCGTGTCAAAGTCGGTCGAAATCCTTTGAGGTATCAAGCGAGACCAAGTGTGTTCCTCCGCGCTTTTCAAGTGCAGCCGACCAGGATTGTGAGACAAGAGCTAGGATGTCCCCGGTGGAACGACGCTGTCGGAAGCCATAGTGGCGGTCCCAGTCCATGTTGGGGGAATTTGCGTATTTGGTCGGAGATGATGATTTCAACTACTTTCGAAAGAACAGATGTGGTGGAAATGGGTCGGTTATTGTTGGGTGGAAGTCACGGCTTGTTTCGAATGGGTTGGAAAAGAAGAAATTTGGAGGGAAAGATTGAAAATAAAAGCCAGCTCGAGAGCACATTTTGAGGACTATGGACGGATCGGGTGGTTTGTTTGGTTTTATGGAGCGCAATGTTTGTTTGATTTTCCTAGTACTAATGAGTTGGAATAGGGTTGCCAGCGAAATAGGAATCAGGTGGAGGAGTAGGCTAATTGAGTAAGGTGGATTTGGTGACAAACTGGGAACTGAAAATCTCAGCTTCCTCATGTGGAGAAGAACCACAGATAGGGGGAATTCCTGAAGACACATTACGGGAGATTGTTTTGGCAAGGGGCCAAAATGTTGTCTATCAGTGGCGGACAAGATCAAGTTTTCGGCTTTGTAGGGAACGGAGCGTTCTTTGGTTCTGAATTGTTTTCGAGCACCTGTTCCTACCTCGTACGAGGCGATAATGGGAGCTCCGGATGAGCGGGCGGTGGAAGGCCGTACGTTTTAAGCGTACAGCACGACCACATGCATGTTTAAACCACTGGGGTATTTCGGTTTGCCGGGTTTAGAAAACTAATAATAAGATACGTACCTTGAGGAACAATGCCGGTGAAGTTGGAAACTTCCGAAGAGAAACAACAATCGTTCCAGGGATAAGGAGCTAGGAAATCACGGAAACCGTCCTAGTTGGCTGAGTTGTAGCAACAGAATGTGTCTCAAGGTGGGTGGCGGATTGGGGCTAAGAGATCTAACAAAGGTTGTTCGAGTGACGAAGTTTGCGGTTTTTATTGGGTGCATTAGACTCATTAAAATGGCAAATGATTCGGCTTTCATGTAACTAGCTTCCTTTGTGGGATGTGGCAAATAGCAGCCGCTCACGAATGGTTGTCGGGACAAATTGACATCTGGATCCAGTGGTGCAGACGGAGAACCCAAAACATCTAGGTCTGATTTGCCAATGCCATTATTATTATTATTAATATTTATTATTATTATTATTAATATTTCACACATGTCTGAGTTCAGACTATGTCGAGCAAATTACGGTACAAAAAATGGTTTGCTACTAGTGAATGCGATACTGCCGGGTTACACAGGTCAAAACAAGTAAATTTTCTTGTAAATTCACAACCGGAGCTTTTGGGTAAGCAAGGCCAGACCTACAAGGCAGCCGATCGGGTCTGTTAAATGACTCCTAACCCATTGAAGCCAATGCTGTGCGACGTTTTAATTTGTCCACCAAAGTATCAGTGCAAATCTAGGCACGGGGGTGGGAAAACCTACCGAGTTCCGTATGTGAACAAAGCGAAGTTTTAGTGAACCATTGCAATGACTTTTGTAGAAGCTGCGAAATGCTCAATGCCCTAATCATTTCAGTTTTACTATCATTAACAGTACACTTTTGTGAGCCGGCATTGGTTGTTGTCTCATGAAGGGAAGAAAGGGAAGATTGAAATTTTCAACTCGGTGTCAGAGTGAGGATAGATAATTCATGAGGACTAAGGTTGCAAGGACATTGAATAGATGCACGAACGCCACTGTTTACGATACTCAGTTATAACCGTTGATTACGATGATCCGGAAGTCCCCAACCAGGAAGCCCAACGTTGTCTTTGTGACCAAGTCTCCTGGTCTGGGTTTTCATACCCTCATACCAGGCTGTTTGACAGCCATTTGCCTTTTTTCCCGGCCATTCCCTGCTTCGGCGAACAGCGTGCACCATGGCAACCTATTTGGTGACATGCGCAACGCATGCCCCAAACAATGCAGTCTTCGGGGGTCGCCCACTTGAGCAGGTGGTCGACTTGGATGTCGTGACCGCACCACAAATATCGTAAGTTGGTAAGTATCAATGGACTCTTCTGTATTCTTGCCGACACTTCATCTTCGATGCATCCACCAGGCGACATGTAGCTGCCCAGATAGCAAAATTTGTTCACTGCTTCTATTAATCGTCCTGCTAGAGTGAGGCTGGACTCACGCAGTTCTGTAGCAACAGCTTACGTTTTGAAGGTGTAAAACGCATGCCGAACATATCTACACTAGCACTCAAGCTATCCAGAAACACACTTGCAACTTACCTGGATATTCACTTGACAACACAATTTTCTGAGAGCGCTGTCAGTTAGCTTCAGCTCCAAAGGCCAACCAATTCCAGCTACTTGAACCTGTCGATTCCGGTAAACGCGGTGTTTCGCGTCGAGATTAATCGCGTTGCAAAATTATACCCTTTAGCTAAGATGCAGAAATTCTGTTGCGCATTTTCTGTGTGCCATCCAAATTAAGGTTTCGCTTGACCAGTACTGAGATCATGGGGACGAGGCATTAAAAGCGAGACACTGCTCGTTGACCATGTGCATGACCGGTAGTTGTCTGAGTGGGGTACCGCACGTGTTTTGTTGTGAACCAATCCAATTTGCGGAGCGTTCTCTTCAGTCCGATACCGGATGAGAGCTGGGCAGGTTGTCGCTGAAGACCACATTATCGTCCTAAAAAATAGGGAAGTTTGGAGAATTTTGGAACGGCTGAATTTCGATTGATTCTTATCTGCTTACCACATTATCTGATAAATCGCCAAGTTACTCAGCCCTATCCAATGCCAGAATGCTGGCTCGCGTACCACACATGTCTGTGGTCACTGGTTTGATTATCGTTGAGGCGCGTTGAGCACTTTAGCTGACTTGTCCGAATGACATCTAATCTGGTGAACTAGACGTCAGCTCGCAATGGACTGAAGAGTTGATTGGAATGGGCACGATCAGTAGACGCAGGGGAGGCAGTAGACTTAGTCTACTTGGAATTATCCAAAGCTTTTGACAGGGTTAACCACCATTT